ATGGAACTGAACTCCTAGCTTGTGGACATGGTGAATAAACACTTCCATGAATCAGTTGATGACATAAGAAGCCAATATTATGACAAAAGGGAGAGATTAAAACTGGTACACCTAATGTTAGTGAACTAAATAGAAGTAAGGTCATGAGGACAGAGCATTCAGAATGTGTTTAAAGGTGTCTTAAATGTCAATATTAGTTATCCAAAGTCCTAGGGAAAATGATTAATGGAGAGGCAGATAAACCTTTCCATTATGAATTGAGAAACCACCAATGGAAGAAAGGCTAAAGATGCAATACCAGTCTCTTGTTTCTTTGGGATTGACAAAATGATGAGAATAAACCCCAAGAAAAGGGCAAATGGCCCTCTTGATGGCTTTCACAACCAAAAGATGCAGAAGAGTTGAAGAAGGAGGAAAAGAACCAGGAGAGAAAGAGGTGATAAATGAAAAGAAGGGCCTTTAGCAAGAATCTGAATGAACCACCAGTTGAGTGCTACAAGACTCCAGAGGCCTGCAATTAAGAACATACATTCTCCCATGAGAGCCAAGCCAACTGGGTACAACAACAGGAATTCACCAATGGGATGTAAAACAGCCAATTCTATGGAAGATGAGAGGAGGTATAGAAAAACATGAAAAAGAGTGAGAGGTGGAAGGTTCACAAGGTCGAGGAACAGGAGTGGACTCAAAAGGATAGAAGAGTCAAGAAACCAAAAAAGTAAGAAAGGACTGGTGGTCGACAGATTCTGCTTAAGTCTCTGAGATGTTAGAAATCCCCCTAAATATCTCAGGGCAAAGGAAAGGAGCCAGACGTAAGTTATGGAGGTAAGGGTGGAGAAGAGAGACCACGTAGAGGTGTTTCACATCCTAGAAAATCCCAGCAACATAGTTACCATATGAAAAGGGGACACAGCTGAAGACAAAACACTCGCCAAGGTATTGAAGAGGACCAACCGTAGATCCCCAGAAAGACTATTGGGATCAAGTGTAGGGCTTCAAACAATAAATTAAAAGAACACAGGTATCTAAGGAGATGAGTAAGAAAAAAGCAAAGACAGGAAAAATGAGCACTTGTTAGAGAAATTGGAAACATGAGATCAGCACAACAAGCAGGTAAAAGGAATTCCAGGGATTGGGAATCCAAGAAAGTTCAAGGGAAATGGTCATAAGCCATGGCAAAAAATCCTGGAGCCATAGAAGATGAGGCATTTGAGATTTGAAATGAAGTTGATTCAAGAACATGTAATATGGACATGTACATTTGGAGGAGGAAGAAAGACCAAATTATTCTCACCATGAGAGTCATATAGCAAGGAATTTAAATAACCAAAAGCCATAGGAGAAAGGGAAAGCAAGGTATAAACCTGATTAATCAAACCTATTTGGAGGAGGAACATTTTTCTCCACAGGGAAAAAGTCTAGGACAAGACTGCTAGTTGGAAAAAGTTGACCAAAGTTGTCATCCTCGTGGTCAGGTTCAGGAGAATACAAAACATATCTATAGACAGTAAGATGAAGCAATGGAGACAGAAAAGAACCCACAACATAATCAACAACGGCTGTATCATATTCCAGAGTTAATGTTCCTCCAGTGGCCACAAACATGGAAGGGCAGTGTCAGTAACATTGCCAGAACCTCAGGAGGTAGCAGATACTGTCATTTGAGAATTCATGTTGAGTAACTAACTCAAATAAGTCTTTAGAACAATACCAGTTTGCTCTTTTTTGTAGTTTTAAACTTAAAGTTAAAACAATTGATAAAACTACTAGAAACAAAAGTATTACAAGCAGAACTTAAACAAAAGAAATTTCACACTTTCAAAAGACAGTGCAAATCTCTCAAAATTTAGTTTAAAAAACATGCTAATCTAAGACTGTGTAGAATATAGGAATTAAGTTAATTCTGAGTACAAGTGCTTATGGAGATATATTGAGCATGGAAGATGTGTCGCCTTTACATTGGTAAAGGGGTACTGCTGCATGATGATTACATTTTGGAATTAACATTTACTTCAGCAATAAGGGCACTTGAACTTGGTTGCCATGCTTCAGTAACTCTATTTTTTTTCTCACTATGTTGGTTGTCCAAAAAATTATTTTTGTAGCTTTCAGTTGTACATTTTACAAAACAAAAAATAATCAGGCACTAGAATAGAATGTCCTAAAAATACTATAATTTCTCTGAAAAATTACATTACTGATCGAAGTAATAGCTTTACTCAACACACATCAAGCAGCACTGCTAAAAATGTGTTGATCAAGCACAGAACCAATGAGATATGTAGACCAACAAGTTTATGGGTGCTAGGAATACACTTTCTACAGGTCATTAAAGCTTGTGTAGAAATATCACTTGACCAAATAACTGGTTGAATTCTCAGCCTCTAAAAACAGTTTTTAGATGGTAGTAATGACTGTAACCACGGAATTACGACTCTTTTCCAAACTACTAACCTAGTTGTCCCTTTGACTGATTGAAATTCATCCATCCTGTATTTTTAATTATGGACTTTTGCTATTTATGATCAAATTCATGACATCTCTGGATCCTTCTCTCCAAATAAGCAGTGATGTTCCATTTTCTAGTGTGCCAAAGCCACTAAGTGCCTATACAGCTGCCATGGAAAGTTATACACTAATTGAGGAGTGACATACTCTAAGGTTTCAGCGATTAAGAGTCCAACTATCAATGATGAGAAACAAGCAAAAATGGATATCTTGCTGGCATGGCCACCAACATGCAGGCTTTCTCATTAGGTTGCCGATGGCCTCTCCTTGTTGTCTGGTGAAAGATCAAAGCAACAGTGACAGCTGAGCCTTCAACTCTCCTAATAGTAATGGAAGCAACACCTACCCATCATGAAAACTGCAGTAATGCTATGTGAGTGACAATATATGGTGTAGTTTTTGTCTATTTTGCATTATTACCATTTTATTGCTAGTCATGTTGTAGTACAAGTAAAAATAAAAAAACAAAATTTACCCTTCTTTAACGGATGAAAAGTTGTAAGCACAAATGAAACCATATGAAAGACATTCCCCTTCACCATCAATGATCTCAAGTCACCTAAAATAAATATTGTCTTGTGAATTTTACTTGACTTCATCAAAGGGCTTCTTGTTTTATTGTAATTATGTAAATTAATAATTATTAAAGGATGTGTTTTATCTTAATTTTCATATTTTAAAAATGGGTTTGATAAAAAACGTTGTATTCTAAATCTTGCCTGTGGCCAATGGTATACATGTGTACATGTTTATGTAGAGGTATTTTAATGTTATATTTTTAAAATGGTTGGTTTGTATTGTTTTTCAGGAAAATGTTGTGAAAAACTTGTTTTATGTTAGCCTAATTCTGTGCTGTGTTTTGTGCAATTTCTTTTTGTTCATGATTGTCATTATTTTTGTTTCCTTATTTAATAAGGTCTACATTAAATGGTTTAAAGTGTAATTTTCACTGTCAAAGTTTTATGTTAGTGTATGTGTGCTTGCATCAAAGTTAAAGGGTTTATTTTCACATTGTCTACATTATTTCTTTGTTAAAGGGATGTTCTGTACTGGATTTCTACATTAAAGGACATTTTTGTCAATTTTGACTGTGTAATGATTTTTCACTTTACTATTGTAATGTCTGTGTAACGTGTTTTCATAAACAAGAGAAAATTAATGCACTTCTCAACCACAAAGCAAATTTAAAAGTTTATTGGTTTTAAAATTAAAATTGTCAGTTTGAGGAAAAATCTGTAGTAAGAAAGACAAGAAAGTGTAGTATATGAATCTACAATGCATTTTTATCTTGTAATTGTATATCATTTATTCTGTTATGTGCAGTTTTCACATAACATGTGGCTAAGAAAGCTGTTAAATTTATTTAATTCTAGCTGCCTTAGTTGATTCCTTTTCCATTTTTGCAACAAAAAACCAGCTCTACCCTTTAGTGAATTCACTTTGGCTTTCATTTATATTTGTCTATCTTTTTTCTTTATCCACTTTTGTAGAATTTTTCCCACTAAAGTAAGACTATCTGACCTATAGCTTCCAAGGTAACTTTTTATCAACCCTTTCATAAAGAAGAATTTTAGGGTGTATTCATAGACAAAAGAAGTAATTAACTTTATACAAATCACTAGTGAGGCCCACTTGGAATACTGGATACAGTTTTGGTCTCTTTATCAATGAAAGGATAATGAGTTATTGGAAAGAGTTTACAGCAGAGCTAATAGCATCTTAATATACCAACTGGTCTTCCAAGGCTGTCCTCATAAACCTACCCTTAAGTAAAAATTTTAAATCATCCTTTATGTGTCATGAAGTCATTAATTCTCTCTTTACTTTGAGTTATGTGCCGGCTCCACTACTACCAATAAGAACTTATTCCACAAACCAATCACCTTGTTAGAACAATAAAACTATTAGAACTTTACAATACCAATAGCCCAGATAGTCTTGTATACTTCAAACATATCACATTTTAGCCTTCTTTTCTCAAGATAAAATAAGTAATCTTAACCTATCCCTGTGCAATAATCCTTCCATCTCTAGCATTATCCTAGAAGCCCTATTGTGAACCATTTACAATAAGTCAATATCCTTTCTAAAATACAGAGACCAAAACTGTACACAGTCCATGATACCTATCTAGTTATTCACTCAGTTTTCAACAAAAATATTGTCATCAACATCCTTTATGAATCCAATTCCCTTAAAAAAGTTAATTTTTACTATTCCTTGGGGTAGGTGTGTGTAGGAACAGCCTTGAAGGAAAATATGGACCCTTGTTTTTCATATGTTACACTGTGTTACATCCTTTCAAAGTTTCATACTTCAAGCACACCACATTTTTTATTACAATTGAAAAAAACTGATATAATGAATAACAATAATTCAAAAACACTATGGAAATCCCACTTACCACAATTTTTTTTAAAAATGCTCATTTGTTACTACCTTCTGTTTTCCACTACCAATCTTATTTTTTATTCACTTACTCCTCTGCTTACCTTATCACCACTTGTAAAAACACTACAATCAGCAACATTCTGAAGTGCTATGGAAGAGGGCATAAGAGTTGATCCATTGCTACAATCAGTTCTTCTGTTTGGTCTATCCTTCCAGCAAGGAATGTGGCACAAGAGATCAGGTTCTCCACGATCTGGAAGACTTGACACTGTTTCACATGATGTCTCCATGGACTTGAGCCCGGCAACACAGTCACTGTTGAAAGAGAGCAGTTGAGAGCTATTCAAGGATGACAAAGCTGTCCCCATACCTTCCTCTTCACCTTCTATCTTCCGTTTATAATTAGTTGATGATGTAAGAGAATGTGTAAGATCAGGTGGTTTACATTTTTCCCCAGACATTACCTGGAAATCAGACGAGGCCATTCTCAGATTCTGATTTATCTCCTCACAGTTGAGCACTTCTGCTGAACAATACGCTTTACAGCTTGAGAATGATTGCAGGGAATTTATATTTTTTTCAGTGCTTCTAAAGACAAAACCCTGGTTGTTCTCATGATGCAGTAAAGGAGAATTTGGTAGAGTTCTTTTGCCTTGAAAAGGATTAACATTTTCATCTACTTCTAGATGGCAGTCACATTGAAGTGTATCGTCTTCCATTTCATTCATACTATTATCATTAACTTATGATTCAGTCAATAACATCATGCATATATTACTAAGTTAGATTTAGAACTTAGGCTGAATTGAGTAAAAAACCCAATGATCTCAAACCAAAGTTTTCTTCATAAACATTTTCTACTGGACAAAATGAGTCTGGAAGTGTTTCCAAATACTAGTCTTCTTTTCCATGCCTGTTATAAGTGAAAAAACATACAAACATTAGAGCTATCTCATCAATAGTAAATACCCATCATCATATCAGACAGATTTGATTATTTTCATCATAAGACAAATTTTACAAAGTGAATCATATTATCTTAAATTATAAAAAGGGAGCACCTTAATGAAGACAAGTTTCATTTATTCTTAGTTTCTCAACATCAACATCTTAAAAACTTCTTCAATAAAAACATGTATATACCATAATTTTTAAGTTCTTAAATGGAAAATCATGTAGGCTGTAAAGTACTAGTAAAATTATTGGGTTCAACCAGAATATGTTTGAATTGCTTTTACTAGTTGTGGTCAGCAGGAATCATCAAATGCAAAATATTAGGTGATCAGGTGTGTAACACATGTGATGGTAACTAACAATTTGCTTTAATTGTTCAAGAAAGCTTAAAGAAACATTAACTGAAATTCATATTATAATATATACAATTTATTACCACAGTAATATAGCTGAAATTCAAAACTTACTTCATGAGGGAACAAAGCAAAATAAAATACCGTCATACTTATTACTTGTACTTATTGTTTCTATAGTTTGGAATAGTGAATGTTGAGCCTTGTACTCATTGTTCCTATAGTTTGGAATAAGGAATTTTGAGCCTTATACTTTTTTGTTTCTATAGTTTGGAATAAGGAATGTTGAGCCTTGTACTCATTGTTCCTATAGTTTGGAATAATGAATGGTGAGCCTTCATGAGGGAACAAAGCAAAATAAAATACTGTCGTACTTATTATATGTAGATAAGATATTTGCATAGTGATTTGGAGTTTTATATATTTGAAGCATTTCTGACTTTGAAATTTAACACTTTTTAAAGTGTAACATGCTTTGTTTTCTTGGTGAAACAAATGTTTGGCATTTTAAAATTTTCTTCACAAAATTTGGTTATTAATAATAATTATGAAGAATGGAATACCATGTAAGAGTACCACATGTATTAGTTAACCAAATAATGTCATGAAAGCTTCTTTTAATGCTGATGGCAATAAGTAAACTGGATCCCCAAATAAGGCAATGAAAAAACTCAGAACAAGTAACCTTCCAAGCCTGTAACACTAGATAAGGACTGGTGGTTTTTATTAGCATAAAATAGATGCTTGTAAGTCAGTGAACTGATGGGATATTTAAAAAGTCTATTAAATCTGGGTAAAACATTTTACACCACATCCAGAAAGAGAGTTCAGACATAATGAAGTCAAGAGAGAAAACATGAGCTCTGCAAGCAAATATTTCTGCAAGAAGAACATGTGCAAGCTAGAGGTTGAATGGCCTGGATTTCTAGGTATGTCAGAGATTTATAAACAAGGATGCACTGAATGCCAAGAAGACTCAGTAACATATAAAAAACTAGCAAAGCCAAGGTTAGACATCACTTGCTATAGTTATGGTTTGGGTTCTTTCAAGAACAAAGCTAACATCCTCCCTGTTAAGTATATAAGGCTGTGATTTCAGGATAGTTGGTGCAGCCTAGCATGAGTTTAGAAGTTCAGTTCAACCTAATAGCAGATCAGTCCAGCAGACATGCAGTTGAATTCAGCAGCCTTAGCTCCAATTCAACTAAAGATGTCTATAATTTTTCTTCTGTGAAAAATCTTTACCATTCAAACTTTAGGTAAAATTGACTTTTCACTCAGTCTAGTAACAGTTAATACATCTTATTTGGAATTGAATTGATCAAATATTAGATAAGGTTGAAGAATTGATGTCTTTTTTTATAACAACTATTAAATGAATATCTAAATGCTAAAACAAATGAAGTTGATGTACAGTTTCTGAATTTATTTAATTAAATATACGTTTTTTGTGTTGCCTAATCTCAAAGTCATGGTTGAAATACTATTACTATACATTCTTCCAAGGGACTAGATAAAGAATGTAGTGTTATAAAGTATTATAGGCTTAATACTAATTTCATTGACAAGTACAATCAACTTTAAATGAAATTATCTGTTTCTATAAGAGAGGGTGCTAGCAATATTTCTATTCCTCAGAATGTTATGGCAAATATTGGGATTAATATGAATCATTAAGAAAATAGCAGTAAACATAAAGATGAAGATATTAAAAATAGACAGGGAACTAGAACCAGATGTTTTCACAAGGAATTTAAAAGAGGTCAAAGACCACATATGCAAGCCTCTCTCTCATAAAGTTTTGTTAGATCAACATATGAAGGGCAAGATTGTGAAGAATGGAGCATTGCTAAAGTCAGTGATAAATAGTTGCCATGGAAACTATAGGCCAGTTAGTTTTACTTCTGTACAGTCTGATGAAAAAAAAACTTGCAAAATCATCTAGTGAAATATATCATAAAAGAAAATCAACATGAATTTAGTAACAAGAAATTTGCCCTTTCAAACCTATTAAATTATTTTTTAGGATGTGTTATCTGGATGATGGAAAGGGTGTACTTACATTAAAAACGATTTTGATCACGTTCCACACAAGAGAGTAGCAATGAAAATCACACTGGTGCAGGTTGAGAAAAGGACTAACAAACCAGATTGTAGGATGGTTGGAAGAGACAGAGAACATTTTTGTTGTTAAGTTCAAAGTTCCAAAATGGGCTATTTGTGCTTTACCCACCAAAGAAAGGTATCAACACCTTTACCTTTTTGTTTTTTAAGACTTCTGACTTACCACTGAGCTACTGGAGAGGGGAGGGGTGAAGGAGTGAAAAATTTATATTAATGGAGTCCAGTCAAACTGGACCCATATTTCAAGTGGAGTACTTCAGGGGTTAGTGCTTGGGCCTTTGCTCTTCATATTGACTTTGATAACATAGGTAAGGGTATAATTAATACAGTAGTAAAATTTTCAGATGGCATTAAACTCTTGGGTATCTCAAGCCTGAGGATGAGGAGGCACTACAGAATGACTTGGATCAGTTGAACAGTTATTTGGCAAAGAGTCTTAATTTATAGCATATGCAAAATAATGCATTTGCTTAATCATAATTTAAATCACATGCTTAATATAGATGGGAACTCACTCAATAGCATGAAAGAAAAAAGGATATTGGCATAATGGTGGATAAGGCACTTATGATATTGAGGCAGTGCTCTGTTGCTCATAAAAGAATTTCAAGAAGTATTTATAGACGTATTGAGTACAAATAACAAGTGGTAATGATCTTCATGCAAGTCACAATTAGTGCTCGCTAGGAATACTGTTTATAATGTTTGACCTACTGGAAAGGGTTCAGAGAAGGGTTATTAGGATAATATCAGGGATAGAAGGTTTATAATAGGGATAGGTCAATATCTCTTATCTTCTATTAAAAGAGTAAGAGGTAATCTTATTGAAGTTTACATGATTTTTCAGGAGGTTTGATAAGATAACATCCTCTGATTTTTTTGTGCTGTATTCTGAAGACAATGGAGCTACATACACAAGTCTTAAGATTTGGGAAAGACAAGTTGGGGTCCAGTTAAATCAATTTTATTTTTCTAACAGGATGATTGGCTTATGGAGTAAGTTGCCATCAGCAGTAATGAAGGACAGTACTTTACGAGTCTAAAATTCTAAATGATAATTTCCTGATTTTTTTATTTTTTCCTTTTTCTCAAGGCTGGACATGCAGAATCAGCTTTGAAGGACCAAATGGTCACTTGTTGTCTATAGGTTATGTTTTGTTATTCAAATGATTACGGGAATGAAAAAATTAAGATCTTATTAAATTTCATAAGATTATATAGGGTATCAAGAGAACAAGGACCATTAATTTTTTTGTGTAACTTTCTGAAAATAAAAGAAGTTTATGATTTGGAACATACAAACTAGGCTTCAGTTAATGTTTTTTCTAACAGGGTTACATAATGAGTTGCCTTCAGTAATAGTAGAGGCTAGTATTTACAGGAGTTTAAGAAGAATATTGATTTCCTAAAAAAATAAAGGGTGGTTTTAAAATTTACTTTTTTGAAGGGTGAATGTCTTGAATGACAAAAAGACCCATCCCTTTTGCTTATATGTTATGTTAAATCTAAAAAATTAAATATCTGGGAATTCTTTGCACAATTCTCATAACCATAAAATGATTTGGTGAATAAATGACAAAAAAGTGAATTGAAGTTAATTAAATCACATTCAGTTAAAACTTTGCATAAACTGATTTTCTTATTTACCTTTCTCTTTCATAATCACATATACAGGACAAATTTAGTTGTCTGATATATATTTCATGTAATATCAAATAAATATAGAAAAATAATAAATGCAAATAATTAAAACTCATCTACTTAGGAACCCTAAGTGCAAGGACTGTATGTTTACTAAACTTAGCTGATCATTTCAACAATCCTCTTGTTGTACCATTTTTTTTTACACTTTTGATGTAATTTATTTAATGTAATGAAACCAATCCAGAGCTCAGATTAAAAATCAAATAATTTGCTTTGATTTGTACTTGATCTACTTTTCAATAAAACATTGAGATGCAAGTATAAGTTGACAACATCAAATATTATTTATTCTTTTATAGATGATTTAGGCAGAATATTTATGATGAACAAAGGTGAAATGGGTAGCAACTGCTTGGTTCAAAATGACAGTCTTGGAGGGCTAATCTATGAAAGTTCTCCAATAAAAAGGACACTGTTTTGAAAGACTTTCATCTTCCATCTTCAGGTCAGCTTGCACCAGCTTTTGCAGAAGTTTTTTATGGTAGTTGGGAGGATTGAAGTAGACATGACTTAACTGGCTGGTGGTTCTTGTAATGTAGTTGGTGAAATGGGTAACGATTTGACCAATGGTAGCCACAAACTGCTGATTTCCAGGCTTGAGTCTATATTTAGTAATAAATTCACCATGATGATTTGGAGATTCTTTGATTTCTAGTTTTCTAAAATGTACCCAAGTTTATATTTTGTAATTGTCTTAGTTTATTTTATGTCCAGTCAACATGGCATTATCTGCCAGGGCAGAATTCTGTGTTATCAGTCTTGTGCAATATTTATGTTCTTTCACTCAGTTTCAGTTTCTCCAATGTAAGCCTGTTTACAAGAACATGGTATTTCATAAATAACATTTTGATGCTTGTCATTAATTGTTCTTGGCAAGAACTGGTCCGAATTTTATACAATATTTCCAACAGACATTAATTTAGAACTTTTCAGCTACACTTAGGTTTTGTACATATGTGAGGTAAATAATGATGGCCTAGTTCTCATGTGTTGTATCACTTAGATTATGTTCTTCAAGCTATTGGTGATGAAACTAAAGGGTACTCATTCTGTTTAAAACACTACATGATGTGCAAGTGTTCAGTTTTGATGGAGTTTTTGTCACACAGGTTTTCAGCTTTGTTGCTCATCTTCAAGCATTTAATAATACTATGGATATTAAGACTGGAAATATAACTTGTAAGTATGTATCAGTACGAGTTAGTTTCTTGTATATGATTGTAGTGAGTTGTCTTTTTGTCTGATAACATTTTATCATTTGTTCATTAATATTATGAACTCAACTTTCAATTTCATGCATAACTTAAGACTTACGTATAACAACATAGTAGATACGTTCTAAAAGTAAAACGTCCTAAACTACCAACTGCCTAATAGTGATAACACAGCCAAATAACATTAATCAGCTCTAAGCTACAATTTAAAAGTAAAGTATACATAACATTAATTGTACTAAAATATAAATACTAATTATTACAATATACAGATTAACACTAACCGCACCCTACACAGTACTAGTAGTAACAATACTACTAGTATTACTAATACAGTAGTTGTACTACTTCAGTATATGTACGTTGTAGTGCACTGTACAGCACATACTAATTACTACCACAGATTAAAAGTCTAAATCTCAAATTAAAATTTTGGAAATGCGGAGTATAATATAGTTATATTACTACTAGAAGACTTTCCTTAAGTAGTAAGCTCTCTGTTAACCTCCTTTTTTCTTTTTCTTTTTTTTGCAAAGAACTTAACTACACGTATATCAACTACACAATTTGTTAGACAAGAAGTATATTTAACTCGAGAGTTGCTTTTATTAGTTTTAGTAAAGCTACGGAACTAGTTTAATTCAAAGTATAATTTAATGATTAGAATCTCTCTTTAATTTACAAAAGAACATTCATCTTCGAAAAAAGTTAAACTTATATTATAGAGAAATTGGAAAAATACAATAAACATTTCGTCAGTAAACTAACTTGTATAACAGCACAGTCGTTACTTGATGAAATTAAAAACACTCCTACAACGAGAACCTTTTCACTATGTATTCTAAAACTGTTTTAGGATTAATCACTACTGTGACCTCCAAGCGAGATATCTGTTGTCCATTGATTTTTCTCTATATTGTGAACAGCTTAAATATGGAGATATATGTGTTATATGAATATATCATGTGTTTTTATCTTCTTGTAATATTGTATTTATTCTAAACTTATTCTTTATTCTATAGATATGCAGCAGTGGTGTACAGGTGACATCTGTAGGTTATTGCCTGACCTATGTGGAATGAGAATAGCCAGTCATGTGAAATTGCATATTGCCATAAGTAAATGCGAGGTTTCTTCGAAAGCTAGAAACCTTGCACTTAATTAGTCTTGAACATAAACCTGATGCAAGAATAATATTGGTAGCATTTATCAGATTATTAAAAACAGTTAAGGAGGAGGAAGAAGTCCGCTGAAAACATGATTCTCCCAGATCGCCCAGCGACTGAATACCGATTCAGAAGAACAACAAATAGTCTTGGAGTGGTTTTCATGGAGTCTTAAATGAAAGAAACTTTGTATAGAAGCGGCATTTCTTCATAAGCAACAGCACACATTATGGTGTTATCTTAAGTATTGTTACGGCTTTGGTCATTTGCTAATTTTCCGTATAAATTCTTTCGAAGAACTTCAGCGATACAAGTCCTTTCTTAAATAAAACTAGTTTATTCTTTCGAAGAACTTCAGCGATACAAATCCTTTCTTATATAAAACTAGTTTATTATTTCTCAATTCAACTTTACAGTACACTTAATTTCCACAGTCACTTTCACTTAACACACGCTATAATACCCAACGATTCACGCACTTTACTTAGGGCTTGACTCGATCATCTGTCTCTATATCTCTCTGTCTGCAATTCAATTATATCCGTTACTTTATTTGCCGGCTTATATACTAAAATAGAGGGCGCCTAGCAAATACTGGATTATTCGTGATGTTCCCCTATCCTTCTAGAAACTCATCACGTGTTACCAGAGTAACGTGACTTCCGCTGTCGTAACAGTATTAATAAAGAGTGTTTTATACCTTATATCCAGTCTGCTCATTCTTTATCTTAAACACAGCAAGCACAAGTTTGGCACTGTTTCGTAATTACTTATCTTAAATAAATCTCTTGTATGATGAATGTATGCGATATAGATCTAATGTTAATTCCGTTCACCTAAACATGCCACAGTGAGGATAAGGAACGATAATCTTTTGTCCATGACCTCGGAATGTTGATTTGTTGCAGACTTTGATAATAAATACTGAAGTGTGTACCGTCCTGTAGCTTAAGCTACTTTTCAGCATTTCAAGAGACTTTTGTGTTTGAGAAAATACTG